ACGAAATTCGAACTCAGCTGTCCTTAGAGTGTAACGGTGATATAATAATACGGTTTTTAAAATCAGATAAAAATTATGACCTCTATAGGGTCCACAAGCTAAAAACGCGATTTTTCGTACAATCAGGGGCCATAATTCAGGAAGTTACGGTCCGATATGCGCGAATATAGCAAGGAACCAAGATCTTTGGGTTATAAACTTACATTTCAAGTTTCAATAAAATGGGATAAAAATTGTGACCTCTATAGGGTCCACAACCTTGATATACCATATTTTTACGCTATTTGAGAACGAAGGGCGGCCATTTTATCTGTCAGTTTTGGGCCGATTTTCACGAAAGGGTTTAACGGTGATATAATAATACTATTTTTTAAATCGGATAAAAATTGTGACCTCTATAGGGTCCAAAAGCTAAAAATGCGATTTTTCGTACAATCAGGGGCCATAATTCAGTAAGTTACGTTCCGATATGCACGAATATCGAAAGGAACCTAGATCGTTGGGTTATAAGCATACATTTCAAGTTTAAACCAAATCGGATAAAATTTGTGACCTCTACAGTGTTCACAAGCTAAAAACGTGATTTTTCGTACAATCAGGGGCCATAATCCATGAAGTTACAGTCCGATACATGCCAATATCGAAATGAACCGAGATCTTAGGATGATAAACCTACATGTATATTTCAAGTTTCATTGAAATCGGATAAAAATTGTGACCTGTAGACTGTTCACAAACAATTGTGGACGGACGGACAGGGGCGACGACAATATACGTCTGCACATGAAAATGTGGGCGTATAAAAAAATAATTTAAAAAAATAAAAAATCAATAGGCAATTTATGGGAAATATTTAAATTTAGGGAATTTTGTTTTAAAAAATGACGTTTTTGTTAACTCTAAAATGGCCATAGCTGGTTCTCCGTAACTACAAGGTTGCTGACCCTCATATTTCATGTTGGGTATATGGGGTACCCAATGATCAATTCTGCAAAGTTTGGTCAAAATCGCCCGAAACCGCTTGTGCCAGTTTTTTTTTAAAAAATTTGCATGATTCTCTCGCGAACTCATTCTTAAAAAGAAATTATTTATCCTCCCACCATTGAAAGACACTCAGTACGAGATATCGCTCTCCGATAATTCCTGAAGAACGCCAAATTGAATTCTGTTAATCATGTCATTTTGCCTTGGCCGATTTTGAGTATGATTTTGTCTGACATATTTATCATTGAAACAAACTGCATTGGTTTCTTTTGCAATTTGTTTAGGACCCGTAAAACGTTATACCAAGAAAAAAATAAAACATTTTGTTAAGTAAAGTTATATTATGACGCCAAGACGTCATAGTTTTTATGGCGTCATAGTTGGGTGGGACCCAAAATGGCGCCTGTAAATGAGTTGTCATAACTTTCCATATACAGGTCTTTGGTAATCCAAAATGGTCTCCCATGCTAGAAGACTGTTCACCAATGACGTAGATATATATCTATATCTGGGCCATTGCTGTTCACCCTTCATCCACCCTTCCCCCTTAGTTCCCATATTAGAACATTGTGTTTAAATCCAGGATAGCTTCTGTGCAGGTGACAAATCAGGTAAAGGAAGTAGGCCTACCTGGTCAATTTCCCGGGGTCCAGTCTATGAATCATGCACGTATCCTCTTTATATAAAAAAGTGCGATTAAGGTTCCTTTAGATCGTCATACGGCGTTCCTAGAGTGATAGACCTAACATTAGCCGCCTCGGCTTAGAAGCCGGGGTAGACATCGCAGCTTTTGAACGTGTTTAACGTTTAAAATACCTATGAGGTAGTTGCTTCATTGTTGTACAAAATATTATTGTATCATCGCTAGTTTGAATTTACAAAGGTCTATGAAGATTTCGTATACAACGCAACACTTAACGTGGGGTTCTACTGTGACACCGTGGTTAGTGTCTCATAGGGCCTATAAAGTTTCAATCTGTTTCACAGAGGTATTGCGACAGCCTTCTTATAACCCCGTTGCTGTTGTTCTTAATGTTTTAACGTCCCCTTCCACCGAGGGTGATATCGCAGACCTTGTTCATTTTTTCTGCACAGCCAAATTAATGATAATGACTTGACGCCAATCTGCCAAAATACAAAATTCAGTTGGCAGCATTTGATTTAAATGAAACAGTTGTCTATCTCCTTCCAAACCAACCTTATCCCAACAAACTGTCTTCTCCCAAACAAACCGTATTTCCTCTCTACCCAACAGTGTCTCCAGCCAAACCAACCGTATTTCCTCTCCAACCTACCGTATTTCCTCTCCAACCTACCGTATCTACTCCCAAACAAAGCGTATCTCTTCCCAAACAAACCGTATTTCCTCCCGAACCGACCTTAGCTCCTCCACAACCGACCTTATATCCTCCCCAAACAACTAACTGCTCCAAAACAAAATGTATTTCCTCCCAAACCAAACGTTCCTCCACAACCGACCATATCTCCTTCACAACCGACCGTATCTCTTCCCAAACAAACCGTATTTCCTTCCGAACTGACCTTAGCTCCTCCACAACCGACCTTATATCGTCCCCAAACAACTAACTGCTCCAAAACAAAACGTATTTCCTCCCAAACCAAACGTTCCTCCACAACCGACCATATCTCCTCCACAACCGACCTTATATCCTCCACAACCGACCAATTATCTCCTCCCGAACCAACCGTGTTTCCTCCCAAACCAACCGTGTCTCCTCCACAACCGGCTGGATCTCCTCCCCCATTGGACCTTATCTCCCTCAAAACCGACCTTAATATCGTCTCCAACACTTACTTTGTCTATGGTTGAATATGGTCCCACTGAATAGCTTGCTATCAAAAACCCATGCATAGACACCAAAACAAACTTCATATCACACTTACATTCAATGTTGGAGGAATTTAACCAATTCAGGTACTTTTGGGGGGTAGAGGTAACTTTTGTTGAAAATATTTTGATCCCAATACTCTTATTCATGAATATGATGCGTGGAATTATTAAAGGTCTCTATAAGGAACTTCTGACCAATTTTGATTGCTTTATCTACAAAATTGGGTGTATGAGAGGTGGTCGGATTTTGAACTACTTTCAAACTGAAAGTGATTTTTGAGAAAAATTTGGCTGAAAATTATAGTTTATGGCGTTGAACCATGTTTAAAACATGTTAGTTATTATGTGTAAATATAAATTCCATTTAAACGAGCTAAATCTCTATTCTTTGTCACCTAGAAATGGACACAAATCGGTCGCAACGCATATAATAATGTAATATGAATGTATATAAACTGATTTATGTTTCTGGTTTTATTGTAATTTCTTATCAGTTAAGTTCGGCTAAATACGCAAAGAGTCCAAATTAAATGGCAGTATTTAGTGTCTGGTTATTCCAGTCTACACCGGTAGTAGTCTCCTCGTTCATCGAGTCGCTTCATTGCAAATGGCACTCAAAATTTTAAAATTTTCATGTTGTCTTAATTATTGGATATAAGAAGCCCATCTTTTCACGCTAAGATGACAACATCAGTTTTGATTTAAATTGACCAATAAGTCATGTTTGCAATATCGACGTCTGTGGGTGATATTGAGTTAGAGACTTGCCTCCTTTAAATCAAATGCTGTCAACTCTTGAATTATTCCAAGAAAACTGACTTTTGCTATTTTGGTCGATATACTTCAAACACCTTTGTTTATCTTTCGCAATAGACCTGGCCAACAGACTGATGATACAAACAAAATCTACTCTGTTTACTCAAACAACTGAATGGAGCTATGACGCACCCTAACTCAGGATGGTCGTTTATTAAAGTAAGATATTTATTGCGATCAAAGATTAAATATTAATTATAATTTTAAAATATACGAATAATGAAAGAGACATATAATTAAAATAATTGAGTAAAGGTGTAGCGCAGATTGCAATCTGCTCGAGGAGTAAAGAATGCGCCCCACATGCAACAATCACATGACATAACTTAAACTTAAAGCGTATGCTCAAATAAAAATTTGTCTTTGGCAAGACGTTGTTATTCATTTTTCAAAAGATAGGTTGCCAGGCAACGAAACATACACACACAGTTGCTAAATCATCGACAATGGTTGTCACATATTTATTCCCTTGTAGGTAATTGGGGGCCTTTACAAGACAGTTCCATACAGATTAGATTATAATTTTTGCCGTTTGAGGGTTCACAAGGTATTTTACAGAATTGTTGAAATGTGACAGGCTTTTTTGTTTTACTAATTTAAATAATGCATATAAATTTCATACAGATCAGATGATGACTTATCGTTGGAGCATTCACATTATTCAACAAAGTAACACAAGGCCCATAACTCATGAATTAATTATTGAAATTCAATAGACTTCTTCGTTTCGCTAATTCAAATCACGCATATAAATTTCACAAAGACCGGGTGATAACTTTTGGTGTTAGACGACGGACGGACAGGGGCGACGGTAATATACGTCCACATTTCCATGTGGGCGTATAAAAATGTTGTAGAATCTAATTTTCAGAAGTTGCGAGATAATTAACCCGCACATATATCATCCCTCTCAATGATTGTAGTGGCCTAGCCAATATTCACTGCTGATCAGTCTGATACGATTTGCTACCTCACCGTGTGACGAGTTCCCATACATCCTTGCTTGAAGCTGTGCGACATGATCGCGTCACCTGGAGATCCAGCTATGGCACTTTTGTGTTGTCGTGAATAAAAGGGTTGTTTAACACGACGAGAGTAGCATATTTGTCTTTTTGGTGCCGGGACACCGGAGAGTGTCATTGTATTACCAAGCAAGTTCTTTATGGTGTATTATACGAAGCTTTATTCTGCCCCCCCCCCCACCAACGCATGAGGCCAAACCCTACGTCACTTTTGTCCGTTGCCGAGGTGAGCCCTCGTCCTCCTTATTATCTTCTTGGTATCATACCACATTTTCGATATTAATCATTTTAGGATACCCAACTATAAATATACTGACACATAAGTATATAGTTCTTTATATTTTTTATTTTTTTTTGACTATGGCATGAGACAATCGGTTGGCGCTGTGGCACTTTTGGATGACTATATATAAATCTCTTTGATTTGGATCCAAAATAAAGTTCTCGATTTCACTGGATTTTATATGTTAATTTGTTTTGTGTGGAGACAATCTGCTGTAAAACTGTATCTATTGTGTAGACATCTTGGGTCAAAAATGAAAACTAAATTTTAAAACAATTCAACATGCACCGAATTTTTCGAAACAAACATACACTCGTATAGTACTTACCATCAAATCAACCTTAATTTCAACTAAATCAAAGAGCTATTAATGTCCGAGGATCTAAATTTCTTTTGCCATTTATGCACTAACTGTATTCAGATTAAAAAAACAGACACAATGCAATACGACAGGTCATTTCGAAACTAATTTATGATACAATTTTATTTCACTAATTCGCTTGTGCGTATAGGGATCTTTAGCAGTCGGGGGGGGGGGGGACCCACTAGGTTGTACAGGCAACCCTACTCCTTGTCACGTATAAGTGTGGTATCGAAACCACGCGACTATTGACTCTATAACAGCCACCTTTTTATCTAAAGCGACCCATACACGAACAAACTTTTTCATCAATAGTATTGATCTCAATAGTTTTGACGTTTGCCCCACACACTCAATATATATTATGCAATATTTAGTTCGGGCCCAACTGGCACAATGGATGCGCTATAGCCTTATTGGTGGTTTGCGCAAAAAATATCTATCTAGAATATAATGACATCAATACTTTTAGGCCGTCGATCAATATCGCCCATACACAATCAAAAACACGTCAAATAATTTGACGTCAATACTATTGATGAAAAAGTTTGTGCGTTTATTGGCGCTTAAAGCGCACACCTTAGACCATTCGGCCACCCAACCCTCCTTCAGATTACATTATATGCTTCAGGAACGATGCAGGCGAAAGTATTGTAGTAAACTATATTATTTAAACTTTTCGGATCAATTTTCCTATATAAAAAAGAAAGCACGACTTAGTCGATTAAAACTGCAATTTGTTACATAAAAACAGTTTGTCACATTTCCGTTCCATATGTCCACGTAATATTGTCGCGTAGCTGTAATGTATCACCAATAAGAAAAGAAAGACAGCCGAGTGGGGTGAACCAAATAAATCTACTCTAGCGCTTTGAAGCATGATAAATACATATATACATATTACGTTTTATTCAATAAAGGATAATGCTGATTGTGAGTTCTGATATTTTATAACATCTTATAATATTGGCTACCCGCAGTAGTACGAAAATTGTATATGTCTGCCCTAACAGGTCGCCCGGACAGCAGCACTGCGGTCTATTCTTATTTCGAATTCCAAGTATATGGTTCGTTTACCTGCATGCTAAAGTGTACGCGGAACTAAACGCTGTTGCTTGTCAGTCCCTTGGTCCTGCACCACTTAAATGTGGAAACCACGTCGGAAAATACCGAAAATAGCGATCTAATGCCTTATTCACTAACTCACCGCAGCTTTCACGAGTAAACAATACAACGATGAGGACAATATATTCACGATATTCTAAACACTCTTTATTCCGAGTTTGAAATATCAAAAAGAAAACTACCCCGCACCACCCCACCCAACCTCTGTATTCTAGCTTGTTTTATTGATACATTTTTATACAGCGTGATTAACTTTTGGAAAACTACCTCGTTTAAATTCTACGACAAAAAGATGACAAACACGAATAGGCGGTGTTTAATTTGCATATAATGTTAAAACCCTAAAGTGTGTGAGTACGTGTTAACTTTGACATGCAGAATGTATATTAATTTGCAAAACTTTTGACTGTATAAAAAAGCAGTGCATGATTTACGACAGGTCCTACCCCGAAGGCCTCCTTTGAGACGCCTATATGTAAGTCTAAGCAGACTGGAATTGGTATCGATATCATCGATAGATAGTAAAATAACACCTTTGAGACGCCTATATGTAAGTCTAAGCAGACTGGAATTGGTATCGATATCATCGATAGATAGTAAAATAACACCTTCCCCCATGCAAGTCTCGCTGTCGTGAACTGCAAGGGAAGACAACCCTGTTTGGGAGACTGTCACACCTTATGGCTATGTGAATGAATTACAGATCGTTTTCTTTTAAAATAAGCGTCTTGGTGTCCACATTACAAAGCTTTCGGGTACATAAGCACATTTTGTGTGAGATCTATGATAAATCAGTTGTGCGTAAACAAAAAATCATCATTAACCAACTGCTTTTGTTCTTTAGTTAATTTTTTCAAAATATTCATCCACATTTCTTCCGCCGCTCCTGGTTTCCATGCATTTACTACCATTAAGCTACAAGGCTTGGGATCCGCGTAACATTTTTTACCGGTATTCATATTTAACGTCATGTGAGATCGTATATCCTCATGTGTCACATGACCTATCTTGGACGGCAGCAGACCGTACAGGTACACGTCATCAACCCAGAAAAATGGCGTCAACCAGGAAGCACGATACATGGCTGATATAATATCTGGAGAGATGAGAACAAAATAACCATTACAGTAATTAACTGGGTAGTTTTTGTACCCTCTGAACTGATCGCTTTCCACGTTCCATTTATAATTCTTTCCGCGCATGATCCCACTTGTACCTTTTTTACGCACGTGGCACAACATAAACCTTTTCTTGTTCTTATATTTCGGAATTATGTTTAGTAACAACAGAAACGGGTTTAAGAAGACGTCATCGTCAATTTTAACAATTATTTGGGAATGGTTACAATATTCGGACACCCATCTAAAAGCCAAGACACCTTTATGTGTTAAGTTATGATAATGATCCAGAAAATCTCCCTGTACAATATCACCATGTACAACTTGTTCGTTCTCCAGTAACGCTTGTATATTTGGATCCCTTGTTAAACCGAACACAAATACGATCCTACTTGATATATTTTTAAACAACTTTTTATTAGCCCACGTTTCTCGGATGATACGTCTACGATCGAAGTGGTCTGTGGCAGTGTGGACGATAGTTAAAAAAGCTAAGTTCGTAACATTTTTGCACAGATTTGGACTGTTTATGATGTAGGGACTGGCCACTGTTAATGGATATTGAGTCTTTTTTGCTGGAGATTTTTTTGTATCGTTCATTGATTCTCGTTTTGATTTATATCTCTCGGGCATAATTTTAAAGTTCTGTGATTTTTCAATAGAGCTCATAACACCATTGGAATTAGGAATGTGTAACACAAGCTCGATGCTCCCGTCATCTTTTTGAACTGCTCGCTGGTAAATGGCATCGACTTTAAGGTCACCAAGACTTACGTCAAGATGACCTTGCACAGACACCGTATAAATTAAATAACTTAGTAATATGGCCACCGACAAGAGAAAGGCACAGATAGTTTTTTGAGCAGATGTGTAGGACGTTAACATCTTGGAAGTTCTATTGGTGGTCAACTTAGATGTTTCTGAAAAATATTTAAAAATAAATACATTACATTCCTTTCTTCAAATGTTAGAACAAAGTTATCGCACGGAAACTAAGTAACAGCCGAGCAAGCCCCGCCCCAATATCACCGGGCTCATAACCAGTTTGATTTTAGAAAATAGGTTGTCATTTCAGTAACAGAGTGTAAAAAAATAAGTTGATTCAATATGGAATAGGGAGTCAGTGAAGTTCCTTTAAAAAGTGTATTAGAGAACTGAAATGGACTTAATGACAGTTTGTAGATTGTAAATCAGTCGGATGACAACTTTAGCCTCTATGATATAGAACATCCACTACGAATTATGGACGACCGAAGGACGGACTGAGAAAGGGGTGGCGATAACATACGATCACATATTAATGTAAATATATAAAAAAAAATAAACCCCTGTGTGGTTGGTTGATCTTTAGCATGACGAAACGAAATTTTGGTATAATTTTAATTAGACTGGGTGGCTAATCGAGAAGTAATATATATCACACAATGATTAATAATAGAACACAAAATACATCCCATTTATATGGTATGTTCACATAGCTTATGCAAGTTTTTTGCATTTTCCGGAAGTAACCTACCATGCGCTTCAAGTCCAAACCACCACTCCGATTTGCTAAAACTAGTGATAAGGGGCGTGTATGGGTGTATTCATCTATCAACACACCAATCCCAAATCATGTTGCTGCTTGATGACCATGTCTCCAACACTAACCACGAAGACTGAACTCGGCCACAACATTAAATATCAAAGAGAGCAGATTACATTTTACATCAACCCCAAAACTAATCTGTTTGGCTATTCTGCCCACCCACCCATCCCGTATCGTTTTGGTTATTGATGATGATCCTATCTGAAACTAACCCCGAAGCTTGCACTCAGCCACAACTTCGAATATCAAGCAAGCGATTTTTAGTGGATTATGAGCCGATTTACTGCATAACTTTCCTTCACGATTTAACAATTAAATGGATAATCGAGACTGTGCGGTTTATCGTACTGACTTTCTAAATGATGATCGAGGCTAGGCGGAAATTTCAACCGCTTAGTTATGGGTTCATAGTGGATCAATTTGAATGAAATTTTCAGCAAATTGCCTTTACATTATCTAGTTTTTAACTATTATAGTGAGAACTGCCAACTCGTTACCGAATCTCTCATAATGTATCTTTAATATATAGCATATTCTGATTCTAAATACACCAAATGCAGAGAGGGAACAGCTTTCGGACCAACATATTGCTTTATATTTTTTTCGTCACCTATATGATATAAAATATTTAACATCATCATAGACAATTCGGGTACTTTTTTGTCTACAGGTCCTAGCCAAGCTTACCCTGGATTAATATGGCAATAATAGGCTATGCGGGAAAAACCTCTCCCAACATTTCTTACGGGGGTAGTTTTATAAATAAATAGTGTGTACACACATAATCCTCTATATTATAGTATAACAGGACGATATGAAATGAAATAAAGCCGACACATAAACACCACATAATAAAATTTAATAATATCAACAAAATGCCTACAAAGACCTCAGTCCCATATTATCACGTAAAACACTTATTGCAGCTCGTCTTTTACCCCAAGGAGTGAGTTTATTCAATGTCAGTGCCCAAAATTTCTCCATATTGCCAATATCCCAAGCGTTAGCACCCACGTATGTCAGTGGTTCCTGGCCGCCATATTGTTTCAAACCAAGATTTTTATTTAAAGTTAAATTCTGTCTAATATCAATGAATTCCATAAATTGTTGTTCATAAGGCAACAAACCAAACATATACACGTCATCAACTGGTATAACCGGTGCATGGAAAGATGACTCGTATAACAGAGGTATTAAGTCACTTGTGAAGATGGCCACGTATCCCGAACAAAAAGGAGGGAAGTGATCTTCTCCTTCAAAAACGGTTAGTGGTATGTACCATTTGCTTTTGGGGTTACGCACTATTGTACTTGCTCCTGCTCGGTGAAAATGACACAATACTGTATTATTGCGATATGAAAGAAGTGGAATGAAATCTTCAACAATCTTAAAAATGTTCACAAAAATATCATCGTCAGCTTTAATGATATAACGTGCTTGTAGACAATAAGTGTTGATCCAATGAATTGCCATGGCAGATTTAAGAGTAAGGTTTTTAAAGCTGTCTATAAAATCACCCTGAATAATATCTCTATGAACGACGTTCTCTAGATCTATTGCAAACTGGGATTTCTCATCCGGCGGTTTCCCCAGAATAAAAATAGTTTTAATCGAGATATTCTGAAATACACTTTTACTGGCCCATGTTTCCCTTAACAAGCGCCGCCTTTCCGTATTTTTCCATGAACTATGGAAATATATTAAGATATCTACAGACGAATCACCACATAAACCCGAATTAGTAATAATAAAATCTTTTACAACAGGATGATCACGGTCTTCATTCACATACGGTTCTACATCAGTCCTGTTGTCAAACCATTCACGAAAATATTCTTTGGATCGATCAATGACATCGGAAAGAGATCTGTCATCACTGGGAACTAATACTGAAGCGGACATATTTCCGGTAATGTTGAAATGGGTTCCGCGGAATGAATTGGGTAAGTAGTCAGGCAATTTGGCCATCATGTGTTCATGGAATCTTGACCAATGTGTAGTCGTTGTTTCATTGAAATAAAATAAAGAAAGCACACATACTATTAACAAAGCAATTAAAACACTTTGTAATTTCCTGAAGAACTGACGACCAATCGGAAGCATTGTTTACGACTAACCAGCTCACACGACAAATTGACTATCATATATTTATAAAAGCGCTGTTACACAATATTCGTCAGTTCTATATAATTTTCAAAACTGGATGGATGAGTATCACTTCTTTTTGAATACATGGCAGAACGTCAAGCAACACAGACCTCGTCGCATCAAAGCTATATACTACCTAATACTATTACACTAGTCAACTCTTCTTGTAATGTGAATTTACCGAATCACTTAGAAAATTGTCCTGGACAATTCCATAGTACATTGTTTCTGTTTTGTTGCTAATGCAGAAGCGAATGTCCACCACCACTAATCAATCAACCAACCCACAGAGTCCTGGAATTGAGAAACATAATTTTTATTATTATAATTAATGCTGAAAAATCTCTTTCAATTCCAGGAAACCGTGTATCGGTTCCATGACAAGACTTCTATTTAGCCATACATATATTTTTTTTTTATTTATGCGATAGTGGATAAGCAATTTATTTTCTGCTTAAACATTTGAGCGCATAAACTGTAAATTAATCTATACGGTACAAACATTAAAGCATTAGTTAAAGCCACTGATCGTCATTTGGGGGACTTTAAATCACTTGAAAACTATACTGCCATTGGTACATGGCTTCTTCTTTCTCAGTGGGATATTAAATATGAGCATAATATGGGTTCAGCCATGAAAAGTTAGATATTGTCAGACAAATGGATATTACGGTCAGCTATTCAAGCTTTAAATTGTAAAATTTGTATCTATATGTGTCGATATTTTGGGCCAAAAATGAAAAACACTAAACTTAACAAGCGGCTGTCACGCAAGATACACACACATTCTGCAAGAGATGAACGGGGAACAGGGGAGGTCGATAAGACTCATTCGCTCTGTGTTCAGATGATACAATCGCATTCCCAAGGTTTTCGGCATAGGGGGTAACTCCGGAAAGGAAGGTTGCAGAATGCTGAATATCTATAGGGTTCATTCTCTCATGGACCCAATGCTTCACACCAAATTTGTAATAGATCTGTTAAAAACTATGATATATCTCATTTACAAATTCTTTATTTTGACACAATCTTATTAAAATACAGATCTATATTTTGTTTCATTTTTTTATACTTTCGATGGCCTACACTACATGGAGATCTGACAAGTTGTACTCGAAGGTCGTGTCATTGGTCGTACGAGCGACGTTGACCCTATGACGTCAGACATTGATTAATCAATCGGCGTTGGCGTTTCTAGTGGTTTACCCACAGTTCCGTGCATGGCAAGCCAAGACGTCGCCGTAACAGACTGTTTCATTGGCTTATCCCTCACTTCAACCAAGATAGGTTGCCAGGCAACAAAACATAAGCCCACAGCAGCTAAATCGTTGATAACTTGTGTCGTTAGAGCGTTCACAAGGTGCAACAAAGTGAAACATGCGCCATAACTCCAGAAGAAATTAACGGAATTTCTTGAAATTACATAGACTTCTTCATTTCACTAATTCAAACAACATATATCAATTTCAAAACAATCAGATGATAAATGTAGTCTGTAGAGTGTTCACAAGAATTTGTGGACGACGGGCGGACGGACGGACGGACGACGGCAATATACGACCACATTTCCATGTGGGCGTATAAAACCGCCGGTAATATAACAACTCTTCCAGATCCTAGTGTAGTAAAGGCAAGTAAAACGAAACTTTGAACTATAAAAACCCGAAACGAAGTAAGATCTGTGTTTTAACCTGATTGATTTTGACATAAAGTTACCCTCTTTAAATATTAAGGGAGTATTAGTACCTGAAATGAAGCATTCTTTTTATTTCCCACTGCCAGTCTTTCACCAGTAAATGAACTATATAGACCTGTTATGTTATTATGCATTCATATCAAATGAAACAATGTACGCATGTACCCATTCGAATTATAATCTGATTAATTTGTTTATCAACGCAGATCTCACATATCCTAACCCCACCTACAACACTTATCTAATCTAAAATGATGAAACATTATTTATAACTATAACAATTCAGGTAATCGTGACTCACAACAACTAGATTTTGACACTAAAGAATTCGCCGAAACGTAAATTGCAATACTATGCATTATATAATAATATAAAGCTGTGTAAACTCTATAATAAAGCAGTCGATACTTTAAAGATACATTAGTTAAGACTTTAATAAGAGTTGGCCATTCTTGTTATAATAATTCAAAAATAGATGATAAAAAAAG